GTTTAAAAATAAGGTTGTGTCTTTTGAAAGGTGTTTCTTTTGATGTTTCAAAAAGAAAAAGGTAAGGGTTTTGTCTTTCGCTGTTTTTATTTTTAGAAGAAGAGTTGTAGCTTTTAATGTACATAAATTTGTTAAGAAAAAATATTTTGAAAAGGTTGTGTGTTTGATGTTTCAGAATAAAGAAAAGAGTTGTGTCTTTTGGTGTTTGAGAAAATGTTAACACAAACCTTTAAGTAGGAGTGGCCATTCAGGTACCCGTTCGAGTTTGGATCGGATATTTTATATTTTTGGGTATTGCGGTATATAGGTATAGAATCCGTTCGGGTATTTTTTATATATCGGATCGGGTTTGGATAATTTTACTTTGGTTTCGGTTTGGATTCGGATATTTTAGATTGTGAAAATCAAATTATTTATTTCTTATATTTAAAAAATTATAGTTGATTTAACTGGTTTTTAAATTTTTTAATGAGTTAAATGACTAATAAGTTTGCAATCAAAATTTTGAAAAAACACTAATTTAGTTGATATTGTGGCCATTCGAGTACCCGTTCGAGTTTGGATCGGATATTTTATATTTTTGGGTATTGCGGTATATAGGTATAGAATCCGTTCGGGTATTTTTTACATATCGGATCGGTTTGGATAATTTTACTTTGGTTTCGGTTCGGATTCGGATATTTTAGATTGTGAAAATCAAATTCTTTATTACTTAATTTTCTTATATTTAAAAATTTACAGTTAATTTAACTGGTTTTTAAAATTTTTAATGAGTTAAATGACTAATAAGTTTGCAATCAAAATTTTGAAAAAACACTAATTTAGTTGATATTGTGAAAATTTGAATGAAAAATTTGTTAATGCATGAAATAAAAAGTTTTACATGCATTTTAAATGAATGGATAATCAATTTGTTCACAGTTGTATGTATATTATATGATTTTGAACCATATACAACATTAATGTAAATATTTTGGTTCAAATGAGTGAAGTAAACTTAAAATATAAGGTTAGATATATATATCTCCGGTCATCTTCGGATTCAGATATTATCCGTTCAGATATTATGTCATTTCGGTTTGGATTTTGGTTCGGATTTTTCGGATCGGATTCGAGTATCAGGTAAAATGCCTAGTCTTACCTTTTAGTTTAGAAACTGATAACATCGTACATTTAAATGAAACTAAAATTGGACCATTAGATTGCATAAGGAAGGAATTTTTGATAGTTGGATTGAATTCTTTTTCCTATAAAAAAGATGATCACAGTGGAGAATAAAAAATCTGGTTTGTATATATAGATATTTTTCTAGTATCTTATCCCAAAAAAATATCTTTTTAAGGGAATGTTCAATCAAACAACATATTATATTTCAATCAGTCAACGTGAAACTAATCGCCTAATTTTGTTGGTCTTTAGGCTAGAAAGAAAACGGAGTATGATTGCATGATGGTGTTGGTTGTGCATATTTGTTGGTCGTTTTTGTAAGTAGCATTAGTAAACGTACAAAGGAATGTTAGACCATCATTATCCCAGCATTTTATTAGATCACCTCCATCGGAGGGTCTAGAACAAGTCCATCGGGAGTGTCTAACAACAGATTCCTGACAAAAGTTAAATAAAAATAAATCAAAAAGTCCAAAATATTAAAGAACCGTTCTCTAAATTGGACTTTTTAGAAAAGCTAAGGAGCCCTAACGTGGCAGATTGTGAACCACACATTAGTTGCTCTCTCTCTTTCTCTCTTTTTTGTCGCGAGAAAGCAGAAGGATTTTTGGTTTCATTCTCGACTTCTCCTTCTTTTCTCTTGATGATATTGCAAACGAATGATGATGCTGGGATCTATGTGAATGCAGGTGAAGAAGAAAAGCAGCATGCATCAATGGAGATTGTGTTTCAAAAAAATTAATCTGATGAGCTAAAAGAAAATATAAGGAAGAAGAAGAAGCGATGGAAGACACCTTTGGAGATGCAGGGACATTTGTTTGAGTTTGTTGACTCTAAAGGAAACGTTGAGCAGCAGCTTAAAGGAGCAAACGAAACAGAGGCTGAGAGCTACGCCTGCCAAATGTTAGATCCAATACCAAAGAGAAGAAAGAAAGTAACAAAGAAGAAGAAGAAATGCAGAGCAATTGGGCTTACTGGAAGTTCGTGGTGGAAGCAAAAGGTATGTTCTTTATAGACATCACTTGTGAGTGTATCATTGATATGGTGTATCATGGATTCTAGTGGGTAAATTCTGGTGTGCAAAAGCTAGTACAAGGTTCATCTCTTGTGCTAATGTGTGGTTGAGCTGACTTTGGAGTCTCAGTTTCAGGGGAACAACTTGTAATCGAACCTCTTAGGACAATTTACAGTGATATATATGTTCATGTTCTGAATAAAATTGAAGTTGATGTGTGTGTGTATTTATGATAGCTCGTCTTATTAAAGATTAGCAAACACAGAGACCTAAAGGTTTCGGTTTTATCACTTTTGAGTTTGAGGATGATGCACTAAAGGCGATGAAAGCTATGGATGGTAAGGTAAACATCCAATTCTTCACTCACTGTAGTATTATTTCATCACCATACAAAACTCACAAACTCACAGCCCAGTTTTTGTGTCTAATATTTTGGCATGCTAATATCGTTTTGTTTGACATTTTTTCACCTCACTAGTTACTGCCAAATTTGCATTTGTTGACTCGTGATATATTTGTCTATCCAAGTGCCGTCTACATGAGCTGGCAAACAAGAGGAGATTTTCTGTTTCTGGAGCTTCAAAACTTCTCGCAAACATGCTTTACTCATACCGTGGAATGGGACGCAGCAAGTTCATGAGTGGCGTAGGAGTTATCATATTCCTCCACCTAGAGGAGAGAGTTTGGAGATGTGTGCTGAGAGAGTTGTTGCTTATTTTGAAGACGATGTAACGACTAAAAAAAATCCATTTTCATTTTTTTTGTTTTGTTTACTTAATGTAATCGTTTATGCAGATTCAACCAGAGCTTGTGTTAGGGAACAATGTGTTGGTTGCTGCTCATGGGAATTCGTTGAGGTCTATCATTATGTATCTTGACAAGTTAACTTCTCAAGAGGTAACAAAACAAAACCAGAATGTGTCTTGTTTTATAACTTGGTTTGTGGTAAGAGTTTAATGTTGATTTTGATTCTCTCAGTTTACAAGTTTAGAGCTGTCTACAGGTTTACCGTTTCTCTACATCTTCAAAGACAGGAAGTTCATGAGACGAGGAAGTCATGTTGATCCTACAGAAGCTGGTGTCTATGCTTATACTAAGGTACAAACAAACCAAACCAACTGTTTTGGCCGTTTCTTATGAGCTTTTCTCACGTAATGCTTCTATGTTACAGAGATTGGCACAATACAAACAGAAGCTTAATGAGACCCTTAACTAGCGTGTTCCTTTTGTTTTGTTGTCTTTTTAAGAACTATCAAGAACAGTTTTGAGCTTTGGGGAACTAGGGGCTGACCATACATCCTTTATCCAGTTGAAGTCAGTAGATGTACTAACTTGTGGTGCAACATATGTTTTTGCAGCTGCTACATTGTATGGTCTATCCCCAAAGCTCAGAGTGTTTCTATGGTCTATCCTAAAAAAAGCTATTCCATTGGGGGAGAACTTACAAAGTAGAGGACTACTGGCTAACACAAACTGCATACGATGTGGCGAAAAAGAAACCCCAACACACATCTTCTTCCACTGTTCTTTCGCCAAAGAAGTCTGGCAAAATGTTCCATTACTTAATGCAGTTCACATAGCTGCTGAAGATGACTTCCAGAAAGCAATGATCAAATTTAGAAAGGCTTTGTGCCTCCCACCGACAGGCATCTCATCATCGGTCCTCCCGTGGATCTGCTGGGCTGTTTGGACTGCTAGAAACCGCCTACTCTTCGAATCATTATCTCTGACCCCTGCTGAGGTATCACAAAAAGGATTAGGGCTAGCGAGAGAATGGATTCTTGCTCAAGAAACCAGCCAATCGAAGGAAACCAGAGGAGTACATGTAAGCTCTAAACGAACAGAAATCAACAACCGTCGAACCTTATCGTGCTATACTGATGCCTCTTGGAACACAACAACAAGATCGGCGGGAATCGCCTGGATCTTCTCCGGCCCGACGATCACCATCCCGATCGAGGAGTCGAAGCGGGTCGATCGGGTCTTTCTCCCCTTGTCGCTGAAGCACTCGCGATCAAATCGGGTATTCTAGCAGCAGTGGCACACGGATTCACCTCCATCGAAGTCAAGTCTGACTGTCAAACGCTCATCAGAGCTATTCAAAACAAATTGCAGGTTAAGGCACTCTTTGGTATTCTCACCGATATCAACCAGATCGCCTCTGCTTTTGTCTCTATCTCTTTCACTTTTGTTCCTCGGTCTGAAAATCGTGATGCCGACTTGTTGGCAAAACGGGCCTTGGCTGTTTAATTTTCGTGTATGAACCTGGATAATGGGCCATCTTACGGCCCAATATCACTTTCCCTTTCATATCAGTATCCGTTTCACAAAAAAAAAAAAATCAAGAACAGTTTTAATAATTCAACTTTAAACACCCTCTTTTTCTCTGGATAATCATTCCCTTATGTTCGAGGCATTTTGGTCATTTTGGTTACAGAGATATTTACATAATATATGGTGATAACTGATATGTAAGGAAAAAAAAAAGAAAAAACGTCAAAGCAACGTCCCTACACTATACATGGTGTTGGTATCTTGGTTTTTGTGGAACAATGATACTGAGAGATTGCAATACTAAAAACGTGTTTTGTCGAAGTCCACAAAACTGTGTGTGGATATCCACTAGTTTATTATTGCTGCACCTGAATATCTATCGTACGCCAAAACCAACGACATGAATCTCGAAATGGTCCTCAACGTGTAGTGAACTGTTAAAACGTTATATAACCCCTTTTCTCATTTTTTGGTAATTATTATGGGAAATTACATCCAATAACTTTGAAAAAAACTCAAATTAACTAATTAATCAAAAGCTCACTCTCTCACTTCCTTTCTCTCCTTATCTCTCTTCCTTCTCTCTAAAAAATTAATTCTATTTTTTTTGTTATTGTACAAATAACCCCTAATTATAAAGGCTACTCCCTCTCTCTCTCCCTCTCCTTTTTTCTCTCCCCTAAAAGACATCAATTATTGGAACCTAAAATGAGAATGAGATTAACACAAAACTTCTTGATTCTGGTTCTACTTGCATTGCGTTATCATGCTGATTCTGCCTCCATTGTGAAGTTCCTTCCTGGTTTTGAAGGTCCTCTTCCTTTCGAACTTGAAACGGGGTTTGTAAGTTGTACCTTCTATCTTTACGTTGGCGTTGTGAGTTTAAAGTTAGTAATTAGTAATTCATCTAAATGAAGGTACATTGGTCTTGGTGAGAAAGAGGAACTACAAATGTTCTACTATTTCATTAAGTCAGAGAATAATCCACATGAAGACCCTCTTCTTATTTGGTTAACTGGAGGACCTGGATGCTCTTCTCTTTTTGGCCTTATATTTGAGAACGGTAAATTTATTATACACCTTCTTTTGCAGAGCATTATTTTGAGTTACATATTTAAAGTGGAAAAGAAAAATATAGGGCCTTTAGCTTTGAAGTTTGAGGTTTACAATGGAAGTATCCCTTCTTTAGTCTCCACTACATATTCATGGACAAAGGTATGTACGTAGCAGAAAATATGTTCATATGTCGATCACATGTCCAGTTTTTTTTTTAATTTAGATCTTTACTTCAGACGGCGAACATAATATACTTGGATCAGCCTATTGGATCTGGCTTCTCCTACTCAAGAACTCCACTTGTTGATAAAGTTAGTGACACAGGTGAAGTAAAGAAGATTCATGAGTTTCTTCAAAAGGTATTTGATTAATTGTAGGCTCACTCCTGTTTAAAAGCGTGTGAAGCATTGATTTTAGGACACATAGTACAAAAATAAAATAAGGGTCACTTTTCTCAAAATAATGTTAGCTTAGGCGGTTGAGCAAGAGAAGCTAGAGACTACTTTACTTCTGGTTTGAGCTAGTCCACAATATGTCACATTACTTTGACAGGCTTTAGCCTCAAAAATGTTTTGGACGGCACTGTTATAGACAAACTTAATTGTCTTTAAGAGCATTTGTCTTGGACTAAAGATCTTATATGTTTTGTATATCTCTTGGTGTGACTTACTGATTGATAATCAGTTTCGGGATATTTAATCCTGGTTAGATGTATCTTTATTTTATTTTTAGTTGAATTCGTTCTCGTTGTAATTTATTTTCCAAGTTGTTCAAGTTTTACACGTTCTGATTTTTTATCCAAACCAAGCATGGACCAACATCTAGAGTGTATTTTTTTGTTTTGTGCAGTGGCTAAGCAAGCATCCACAATTTTCCTCCAACCCATTTTACGTTGCCGGAGATTCTTATTCTGGTATGATTGTTCCGGCTGTTGCTCAAGAAATCTCAAAAGGTTTGGACACGGTTTAATTATGTTTAATCAGTTTTCTGACTTTCTCTAACTTTGTAACAATATATAAACCATGATGCAGGAAATTATATATGTTGCAGACCTCTAATAAACCTACAGGTCATTGATACTTTATTGCTTTTCATATTATATACTTTTGGTTTTTTTCATTAACGGAAATGTATGTATTATATATTATTTTCTTAAAAAACAGGGCTATATTCTGGGAAACCCGGTAACAGATACTAAATTGGAACACAACTATCTTATTCCATATGCTTATGGAATGGCATTAATCTCGGATGAACTCTATGAGGTATGGTACTATTTCGCAACAAAGTTTTATATTTTAATCCTTTATGAACCAAATCTAAACTTTATATTTTTAACCCTCAAATGATATAACAATGTTCAGAACTATTATTTTACAGTCAATGAAAAGAATCTGCAAAGGAAATGTGAACTCACGTAACACAGAATGCTTGAAACTCACTCAAATTTACCAAAAGGTACACACTCTATAATGTAACTGATATTCAGCAATTATATCTATGTAGTAATAATGGTCATCACTTATTCATATTTTTGGGTTGATTTATACAGTGTACCGACAGATTAAATAAATACCATATACTACTACCGGATTGCGACAAGACATCTCCTGGTTGCTTTGTAAGTAATACATGTTTCGTGCATCTAGCTAGTATCCTTGGGGAAGTGTTTGATCTTATTGGTTTTGTCTGCCTTTCCGCGAACCAAAAAATTGGTTAACCTTAGAACAGAATAACAATGATCTGTGTATACAACCATCCTTGCCTGTTGACATTTAAAATAAGTCAGATATGATATTCCAAAGAAAGATAATTACAAGGTTACTTATGCAGCTTTATAAATATTTCCTCCTTGAAAAATGGGCCAATAACAAGAGAGTTCGCAAATCTCTTCAAGTTAATAAGGTGTGTGCAAGTTTATTTTAAGATCATTGATAGATTAGTAAGTGATGATATCAAGAAACTTTTTAAATTCCAAAGGATGATCTATCTTTTCAGGGGAGTATAAGGGAATGGAGGCAATGTAATTATGATGGTATTCTGTATAATTACGACATTCAGAGCAGCGTACCATACCACAAGAATAACAGCATTAATGGTTTCCGATCTCTTATCTTCAGGTAAGAGTTAAATAAAACCGAAACAAACTAAAATTGTTTTTATTTAGAGTCAGTTTCTATGAAAGCTAAAACAAAAAACAAGTGAATTTAAACCTTAAACTGGATTAGCCACTCACTCCACAAGATTCAGGACTCAAGAGAATGAGATTATAAAGTTTTATGTTATTAGAGTAGAGAATAATTAAACCGGTTTCCTTTCGCTGGTTTATTTGATTTGATTTAGTCTTGGTTTAGTTCGGTTTAGTTCATACTTGTATATAAGTAGTTGTAAAGCTAACCGTTGGCAATTAATGGAAAATATTCTCATAACAAACTTTGTCGTCTTCCTCCTCTCAAATTCTCTCAATCGTAATATGGTATCAGAGCCATCAAGCTCTTCTTCCGTTTGATTCTTCACCGTTTTCATCGTCTCCATCGTCTCCGATCATCTTATCTGTTGATCTCTCTCACCGATGGTTTCCATTAAGAACGTCACTCGAAAATCCACTCGAGCGAGAGCTTCTTCCAGCTCAGCTCGTCGAACGACTCGGATCTCCTCTCCAGCTGGTACAACCGATGATTCTCACCCTCCGACTCCTCCGATCACTGTTTCTCAACAGACCGGAGCTCCTCCGCCATTCTCTGTACCTGACTCGACCGATCCGAATCAATCGCCTCTGTTTATGCATAACGCTGATCATCCTGGTTTGCTACTCATCTCTCTACGTCTCGATGAATCTAACTATGATGATTGGAATGCTGCTATGCGTATTGCTCTTGATGCGAAAAATAAGATCGGATTCATTGATGGATCACTAACTCGTCCAGATGTTTCAGATCCTACTTTTCGCTTGTGGTCACGATGCAATAGTATGGTTAAATCTTGGTTGTTGAACTCAGTTTCTCCACAGATCTATCGTAGTATTCTACGCTTGAATGATGCTGCAGATATCTGGAGAGATCTATATGGTCGCTTCCATATGTCTAATCTCCCAAGGACTTTCAACTTGACTCAAGAGATCCAGGAGCTTCGTCAAGGAGCAATGTCCTTATCTGAATACTACACCAAGCTCAAGATTCTTTGGGATACTCTGGAGAATGCTGATGAACCTAATCAACCTTGTGTATGTGGAAATGCAACTCGTTTGCAACAGAAGGCCGAACGTGCGAAGATTGTCAAATTTTTGGCAGGTCTTAATGACTCTTATGCTATCATTCGCCGTCAGATTATCATGAAGAAAGCTCTCCCTTCATTGGTGGAAATCTATAACATTTTGGACCAAGATGACAGTCAAAGGGGTTTCTTAACTCCAGTTCCTACTCAGGCTACATTTCAAGTCTCGGACTCAGCTTCTCCATTGACTGATCAATCCATTTCCTATGTCCAAAATGGCCCCAATAAAGGACGTCCCATATTCTCTTTATGTAAACGTGTTGGACACATAGCTGAACGTTGCTACAAGAAACATGGTTTTCCACCTGGCTTTGTTTCCAAATACAAGCAACCGGAGAAAGCTTCATCTTCCACTAAGGTCGTTGGTCAAGTTTCTAACTCAGACTCTTCTCAGGTCAATGCTCAACCTCAGACAGTTGAGAATATGATTGGCAATCTCACTAAGGACCAGATTCAGCAGTTCATTGCGCTATTTAGCTCTCAGTTGCAGGCTCCTTCCAACTCTACTCCTCATGATGCTATTGCATATGTGTCTGGTATCTCCTTCTCTACTACAACATACAATTTTGTTGGTATTCTTATGGTATCTCAGAATCGTCTCTCAACTCAAACATGGGTTATCGATTCTGGAGCCACTCATCATGTTGCCCATGATCAGACTCAGTTTATTTCTATGGACAACTCTGTCACAAGTTCAGTTAATCTACCTACTGGCTCTACAGTTAAAGTCAGTGGTGTAGGCACCATCAGATTAAACACACACATTCTTCTCCATAATGTGTTGTTTATTCCTCAATTTAGACTGAATCTTCTGAGTATAAGTTCATTGACTGATGATATTGGTTCTACTGTGACATTTGATCCTTATTCTTGCACGATTCAGGATCCTACCAAGGTGTTGACGATTGGTCAGGGTAGGCGTTTGGGGAACCTCTATGTCTTGGATACATCTATCTCCGTTCATGCAGTGGTTGATATTGGAACTTGGCATCAGAGGCTTGGTCACCCGTCTTATAAGAAGTTGGATACTATCTCTGGCTCTCTAGGAACAACAAGAATGAAGAATAAAGGCAAATCTTATTGTCACACATGTCATCTTGCTAAACAAAAGAAGTTGTCTTATACTTCCCACAATAATGTTTGTAAAGACAATTCTGAGCTATTACATATAGACATTTGGGGACCATTTTCAGTAGAGACTATTGATGGTTTTCGGTATTTCCTTACCATTGTGGATGATCACTCCAGAGCAACTTGGGTTTACCTTCTTCAAACTAAAGATGAAGTGCTCAATATCTTTCCTACTTTTATCAAGCATGTCGAGACTAAATATGGTGCTACAGTTAAGTCAGTGAGATCAGACAATGCTCCAGAATTGAAGTTTCACCAGTTTTATCTAGAAAAGGGTATCACTGCTTATCATTCATGTCCAGAAACTCCAGAACATAACTCAGTGGTGGAAAGGAAACATCAACACATTCTCAATGTGGCTCGAGCTCTGATGTTTCAATCTCATGTACCACTTTCGTTTTGGGGGGTGTGTTCTTACTGCGGTTTTCTTGATTAACAGAACACCTTCTAAGCTTCTGCAGAACAAGACTCCTCATGAGGTACTCACAGGAACTCCTCCTGATTATACTCTTCTCAAAACTTTTGGCTGTCTCTGTTATAGGTCTATATCACCAAATCAGAGGCACAAGTTTCTTCCTCGCTCCAAGGCTTGTGTGTTTCTTGGTTATCCTTCTGGTTACAAGGGATACAAGCTCATGGATTTGGAGAGTAACAAGATCTCTATCTCTCGGAATGTTCTCTTTCATGAAGACTTATTTCCTCTGAAGACATCTTCTCCTTTGCAAATTCCAGAATGGTACACACCTACGCTTTCTGAGCCCTCAGTCACTATACCTCCCTCTTCTCAAATATCACCACCTCATTCCATTCCAATCTCTCCATCAGAAATTTCTAAAAACAGAGTCAAGAAAGTTCCTTCTCATTTACAGGACTATCATTGTTATGCTCTTCCTACTGATACAACTCACCCTATATCCTCTTTTCTTTCCTACTCTAAACTTTCTCCATCTCACAATATCTATATAAATTCCATCACTAAAATACCTATTCCATCATCTTCTGCTGAGGCTCAGAAAGACAAAGACTGGGGTATTGCAAAAGATAAGGAGTTTGAAGCTATGGAATCAACAAAGACTTGGGATGTTACTAGTTCACCTAAAGGGAAGAAAGCAGTGGGTTGTAGAGTTCTCTATTCATTGAAGTTCAATGCAGATGGTACGCTTGAAAGAAGGAAAGTCAGAATTGTTGCTAAAGGTTATACGCAGAAAGAAGGGTTGGATTTCAGTGAGACGTTTTCCCTTGTTGCTAAGATGGTTACCATCCAGTTGCTGTTAAAATTGTCAGCTTCAAAAACGATGGATTTTACAGCAGCTTGATATCTCAAATGCATTTTTGAATTAGGAACTCGAAGAAGAAATATACATGAAGTTTCCCGATGGCTATGCAGAGAGATTAACACGACAGGGGGACTCTATTCCTCCCAATGCTGCTTTGAAGCTTAATAAATCCATCTATGGGTTAAAGCAAGCTTCGAGACAATGGTTTTGTAAGTTTTCTGAATCACTGCTTTTGATGGGTTTCCTAAAGAGTCATGGAGATCACACTTTGTTTGTCAAAAGTTTGAAGAATGAGTTTGTGGTGGTCCTCGTTTACGTTGATGACATTATCATTGCTAGTACAAGTGTTGATGAAGCAATGAAGTTAACGAATGATCTGAAGAAGTGCAGATGGTATTTCTTTATGTCAAAGGAAATATGCTCTGGAGTTGTTAACATCTGCTGGTATGCTAGCTTGTCGTCCTTCTTCAGTACCTATGGTTCCTAATTTGAAACTCTCAAAGACCGAAGGCACTCTTCTTGACACTCCGGAGAGATATCGTCGCTTGGTTGGTCGTCTGATGTACCTCACCATCACACGCCCTGATATCACATTTGCAGTCAACAAGCTATGTCAGTATTCTTCTGCTCCACGTTCTCCTCATCTACGTGCCGTTTATAAAGTTCTTGAATACATAAAAGGCACAGTGGGTCAAGGGTTGTTCTACTCTGCCACCACTGATCTTACTCTCAAAGGATTTGCAGATGCTGATTGGGCTTCGTGTCAAGAAAGTCGACGCTCTACTACTGGGTTTGCCATGTTCATTGGATCTTCTTTGATATCATGGAGGTCTAAGAAGCAGCCTACTGTTTCACGGTCATCAGCAGAAGCTGAGTACAGGGCATTGGCATTAGCTACATGTGAGATGATGTGGTTAAGTCAGTTGTTACGAGATTTGCGCATCTTCAACCTTCCTGTTCCAGTTCTCTTTTCTGATAGCACTGCTGCTATCTATATTGCCACGAATCCGGTCTTCCATGAACGAACAAAACATATCGAACTTGATTGTCATACTGTTCGTGAGAAGCTGGAGAAAGGTCTTCTTCGTACTCTTCATGTTCGTACAGAGGATCAAGTTGCCGATATACTCACTAAACCTCTCTTCCCTCATCAGTTTCAACATCTTATGACCAAGATGAGCTTGATTAACATACACAGCTCATCTTGAGGGGGACTATTAGAGTAGAGAATAATTAAACCGGTTTCCTTTCGCTGGTTTATTTTATTTGATTTAGTCTTGGTTTAGTTCGGTTTAGTTCATACTTGTATATAAGTAGTTGTAAAGCTAACCGTTGGCAATTAATGGAAAATATTCTCATAACAAACTTTGTCGTCTTCCTCCTCTCAAATTCTCTCAATCTTAATATATGTAAATTATGGTGACTAGTGGTGATCATGATATGACGGTGCCTTACCTTGCAACACAAGCCTGGATAAGATCTCTCAATTACTCGATCATTGATGACTGGAGGGCTTGGATGATAAACGATCAAATCGCTGGGTATATATTATTTTGTCTTTAGGTTTTTCATGTTCATTTATTTTCTGTTCGTATCACAAGCTTGTCAAAACTCACATAAAAATCATCCTTGCCTTTCTCTTGACAGATATACGAGAACTTATGCCAATAAGATGACATTTGCTACTGTTAAAGCAAGTCTTCTTACTTCAACTTAATATGTTTACTATCACTGGATTACAATAAAAATGTTATTAATATTTTGAGTGGTTTGATTATAGGGAGGTGGACACACGGCAGATTATAAACCAGATGAGACATTTATTATGTTCAAAAGGTGGATCAGTGGCCAGCCTTTGTAATAGGACTTTATCTGTTGACATGATTTGTAAAACAACCTAATCAGTTTCATATTTCGTCAAAGCCATTTGGATCCACATATATCATCAATATAATCAGTTTCATAGTCAGATTGTAAAACAACATAATCAGTTTTATAGTTTAATGAGAAAGTAGTTAAGTAAATATGGTGACCGATTAAACAAAATTAATTAAGAACCAGTATTGTGATCGATTTGTGCAAATCATGTAGTTCTAGAAACAACCATAAAAATAATATAAATCAATAAATTAATTAAAAAATAAAATGTTTCAATATTTTTAAATGCTTCATCTTAGATCAGAATTACAAATAAACAGAAGAAAAAATGATATCTTATAAATTTAGTAAATAGATGTGTATATATATATTAAGTCCTATTATTGTACTAAACAAATTACATGCTAGGTTGATTAAACATAATATATATTCTCCTTCTTCAAGCTCGGGTTATGGACGAAGGAGAAGAAGGAACCGAGAAGAAAATATCAGCAATAACTGGTTTTATTGCGGATTATTTATAAATTACAGACTGAAACAGGTAAAATCAAAGGACTCTTTCCGATCTAGGCAGATGGTTGAATCTAATGTGAATTGCACTAAGCCTAGAGCAGAATATTAGGTAGGACGAGTTGCTATATTTTTCTATCTCCTTTTAGGAAGAAACTCTCTTTAACTTTTGAGAATATAGACCCAAGTAACCTTTGAATGAAAGTTTTATGTCAATTTTAAAAAACCTAAACTTTTTTTTTGTGCAACACTCCTTAAAAAAATTCCATTAAACTAAAAAGAATAAAGGGAAGAAAAAAAGCGAATCGATGTATTAATTCCACATCCTCAAATTAGTCCTTCCTAAAGGCAGTAGGATAATGGCTAGGATGTTTTGAAAGACATTATGGCATTAAGATTTACCAAGGGCTATAGTCATAACGATTATTCTATTCATCTACTTCAACCGTACCGTCTCTGTAATAAATAAATGCCTCTTTTTCTCCGGAAGAGTTTCTTCATATTCATAGAATTAGGGGACAGAATTCACAAGAAAGAGAAAGAAAAGAGAAATGCCAACCCGTGGGATGAGAAGTTGCAGAGTAGCTGATAGTGGCCTCCCTCTCCGATTCGAAACCTTGTCTTTCCCGCTTCCCTTCGCAGGAAATTTTTGACAGAAAGTAGCGATACTGATACCTTATAACTAACAAGTACCAGTCGGATACAGGTACCCTTTTGTTGAAGGCCATTCGAGCTTTTCCTGGGAGTATTACTCGATTTCATAGATACATATAGAATTATGTGGAAGTTGTCTTCGATGAAAGTCGTATGTACGGTTTGGAGGGAGATAACCCCATAGATAGTACAAAGAAGGGGTATGGCATCTTTATCAAGTCATCCAATTCAAAAATTATGTATCAAAATTTCATAATTCAAATTGACAATTAATTAGAGTCTTTGGATATAAATACCAGAAATTCCTAGAGGCATACCATAAAAACTTACTTGACCAATTGGGTAGATCAAAAAAACATCAGTAGCAGCTGCAATAGGTTCTTCCAGCCGTCCTTCTGAAAGGTCATGTTCACCACTTCAAGAATGAGATATTGTACGGGGTTTCTTCTTTTGTCAATTAATCTAATATTGATTGATTGTCTGACCATTCCGAGACTTTCATGAGTCTATATCCAAAGTATCTTAGGTCTTTTCCAAAACTATTAATTTAATTCCCTCTCTACCTATCCAATCTAATGGATTTACCTCCACTCGTTTTAATTTTCCTCTAATCTGATAGGTAAAAGTTTAGGTTAGAGAATAGAACCTCGAGAGCCATGGGCTTAGAATCACGAAAAGATTTACCAAGAGGTCTCATCAGAAATTGTGAAAATTCACTGAGTAAGCTATGTCAGGTATGGTTATGCTAGCAACCACCAAGAATGTGCACATGGGTGTAACAGCCCCTGGTGAAACAGCAAGCACCAGTTTGACTGGGGCGGTGAGTTAGTAGTAGTGGGTGGCAAAGTAGCTTTGTTACCTATTCTATTAGGAACGAAAATCTCATGCACGGTTTTGGATGAGAGAAAGAAGTGAGGAATCCTCTTTTCGACTCTGACTCTCCCCCTCCACTACAAAAATTTCCTTTTTAGTAGGAACGCTCTCGCTTTGTGGTATTCCCCCCCCCCTTTTTGCTTGTTTTTGGTCTAAAGATGAAATTCTTAATGATGGCAAATTATTTTCGCCAATTTTTGTAATAATAGCTTGTTCAACAGCGGGATTAACCGATGATACACCAGATCCAGCTCGGTTATTGATTGAGTGAATAGATCGGTCATTTCTTGAAATCTCTCTTCTGACTCAAAATCGGGGCGTAACATGTATCCCCCCCCCCTCTTCCGTTCATAGAATAGATGAAATCAATAAAAAAATGGATATCTCAGTATAGAAAAGGATACCAATGATCTTTATTTGTTTATAAACTGTCCTGGTGGATGGGTAATATCGGGAATGACTATTTATGATACTATGCAATTTGTGTGACCTGATGTACAGACAATATGCATGGGATTGGTCGCTTCAATAGCATCATTTATCCTAGTCAGAGGAGAAATTACCAGCAATGATATACTAGAAACAAAAAAAAAGCTTTCTACATAAGCATCGTCCAAAATCGTCCGTACTTTGGATATCCGTATAACCGTTGAAGACTGTTGATGTGACTAATTCCTGGAAATTTAGGGGCGTTCTTTTTGTCGAACAAAGTAATCGGGTGAAAAAAATCTGAAAAAATGAGAAAATTCCATGCATAGTCTATAAGAGAAAGTCTATGAATGAGTCAGTGGAGAAGTAAGCAGGTCGTTTATAGAAGAGAGCGCGGAAGCAAATGCCTACCATGTCCTTGCCTGCCAGATTGCCTTTGGTAACCCTAATCCAGTTATCAAAAGAAGGCGCTAGTTCGGCTTTCAAGAGAGGAGAGCGAGCTATACATAGTGAAGCGAGTATTCACCGAACACGAAGGCTTTGAGCCCCATGTCCCTCTTGTGTGGAGGTAGAGGGGAATAAAAAGAAAAGACAGGGATGGTGTTTCTCTCGCTTTTGGCTTGGCATAACGGGCCTTCAGCAGGAGGCCCGCAAGACCAAATCGACTTTGATTTTTGAATAATCCACATCACTTCTGCTTCTAGTGTACCAAAAGATTCTCATTTTATGCGGACTTTCCCTTCCGCTTGTTGATGATGTGAAATAGAGAAAATCCTTAAAAAAAATCGCATATCTCCAGAAACTTGTTCAGACATTGGGTCGCACAAATCGAGAAAATCCTCAATTGAATTCATCTTTTCAATAAAGAATATTCACTTAAAAATTAGTTTTTCAAAGAGCATTCGAAGGTATATAAAAAGAAGAATTACAAGTAGTGCATATATGATATACCCCACCAGCATGGTGTATGGATCACTAAACTAGCAAAAAATTACAAACAAGATAAACAGCATTTTAAAATATAACTAGGAGCGGACCCACATGTTAGGTTGTGGGGTCATTCACACCACAAAAAATGATAATATGTTAAATTTGTATAGAAAAGTACAAGAGAATTCAGTTGGTTAAATGTGGTGTCTGGTCCCTCTCCCCCCCCCCCCCCCCCCCCCCCCCCC